AAAAAAAAAAAAAAAAAAAATCTATGCATGCTTTTACCTACTTTCCCTAGAATGTATCCATCTGAGGTATAGGAGCAGGCAGAAATGAGGAGTGCTTTTGTGTGCTTTTAGAACATTCTGAGCGTCTTCTTAGCTCTCCCTCCACTCTCACTGAGAAAACTGTTCTGGACTGTGGGGTACCCTGTTGACGAAAGGATTACAGGCTGGAAGGGACGCGAATGCACCAAAGGAGTAAGCGGTCAGCTAGTTAGACTTCCGCACTGTAGAGCTTTACAAAGCCTTTCATGTGCTCATGAATCTCCAAGAGAGGTATTGAAAACTTTTAAAAACATATCTGACCACAGGATCCTTATTTTCAGAGCATCTTGTTGACTATAGTGCTAAATTAGAGAAGTCCAGCAATGGTCAGGTTTGTTTTAAAAGTCCACAGGTTATGGGAAAGGAATCCATAGCGGAGTAGAAGAGTGTCCAGGTCAAGACTTTTAAGCACAGTTTCTGCATTGTGGCTTTGTTGGTGGAGAGCTGGGTTCCTTTCCATCCTCCAGTTAAACTTCTGGGTCATCAATATGAATTTTGAAGTTACAAGGTGTTAAGACAAAATTGGGAATTTATGAAATATTTATAAAGTTCCATGATCAATAGATTAGTTTGTCATAAACAGGGATGAATAAAGTCCTGAGAGCAGACTAACATCCAACAGCCTTTAGGATAACTAGCCTTTTTCTTTTAACTGTAAGAACTAGAAGGTAGGTAACTGTCTTAAGCAGATACACTTAGAAGTCTTGAAACACTCAGTAGTGGTGACTTAGTATTCGGGAGTTTACCCACCTTTTCAGGAGAAGCAGCGTCATAGGGTCTGACACAGGTTTGTTCTGTCCAGGCATTAAACTGAAGATTACCTCCCCAGTGAAGATGGTAAGTAGCACTGAGTGTTGCCTCTTAAGATTCACAAAGAAGCCAGTGATGGATGAGGACAGTGATCGCTGGCTGGGATTACACATTTCTATAGCATGATTGAGTTTCTAATAACGATGTGCGTGAATGGTACCAGTATACAGTCGTGCTTCTTGTCTTCAGACACACTGAATGGGAATAGTTCTAAACACTTTCAGTGTTCCAACCATGTGGGTTTCATAGGTCACAGGCTTCCATTGTTCTGTCCCTGAGACTACATTCCTTTCCTCAGGGAGCTCATCTTTATTGCTGAATTTTCCCTCACAATCCACTGTTAAAAGAAATCCCCACACATGCATTCTTGTGGCTACAGAAGTCTACCTGCGCTCACTTTTTGTTTGTGATCCAGCTGGACTGTTCGAAGCCCATGGAAATTGCTTACCGGTGACAGACATTGTGTTTATTTTCCCCTACAGACCCTAAGCTTTCTTTTCTTCACAGGTAAAGTCAGTCATAAATCTTTTGTTTGCTGCATATACTGGAGATGTGTCTGCACTTCGAAGGTACGTTCACAGGGTGCGTTAGCATGTGGTTACAGATGTTGAGCAAGTTGCTTCTGGGTGAGTTGCCATTTTAAAGCTAAGGTCTCACTCTCATTTTCCTTTACTACAAATGACCCAAACAAAATTTAGATTAAGTTCTCACTTCCAATGCTGTAGGCTTGATGTTCAAGCTTGTCATTTTCTTCCTCTTAGAAAAGCCCAGATCTATTTTCCCAAGTGGTAACTATTCAACAAATCTGGCTAATTAATCTTAGTGGCTTACTGGAATTGGATAATGCCTCTCACTCCCCACCTTTGGTGGTAGGGGGAGCAACTCGGGGTAACTGGTGCCCTGCAGACCACCAGGTTTAGAAAGGCCCTACAGAGAAACGGCTGACATAAGGTATCTTGTATAGGGTCACAGTTGATTTTTAAAAGAGTAAAATTGCTGTGCTTAATTTCCACCCTTGTTTTAAAGTCTGTACTAATGGACTAAAATGTTAAAGAATGGGAATCTTAGTGAAAACACAGAACTTTAGTAGTTTCTTGCCTTTCTGAGACATAAACTTTGTTATAGTTGTGCCATTATTCTTGAGTCTTAAACAATATGCAATAAAGCTTAATTCTGTGAGCAATGTTTAAGATTTACCGTACCCCAACAAAGCAAAGAGAGGTGAAGTAGCTTTTACCCAAAACACGTGTGCACTGGTTAAACAGGGGTCTCTAGTTCTGATTAATGAGCCTGTGAAGAATGGCATCTCTGACAGGGCCCTAGATTGAACTGATGATTAAATGATACAAATGTGAGTTAGATTTGTTTTTTTATATAATGAATAGCTACGGTTACAAATTTTCAGATTTGCTTTGTCGGCCATGGACATGGAACAGCGGGACTATGATTCTAGAACAGCGCTCCACGTAGCAGCTGCAGAGGGTAATACATGAATCACTCAGACGTTTGTTTTCCAGATTTAATTTCTACTCAATACTAAAATCTGCTTTTTTTTTTCTTTTTTGTATGTGGGGGGCTATAGGTCATGTTGAAGTTGTTAAATTTTTGCTGGAAGCCTGCAAAGTAAATCCTTTCCCCAAAGACAGGTGAGCACTTACCTTATTACATAACCTAAATCAGTATTTTATTATACAGGATTATAATAGTCAGGTGATGATGTATTTCAATGCACTAAGAAAACCTGCTGTAGTATTTTATGAAGGCAACAAACAAAATCTTGTTTCTGCTACATAGATTATCCTGTCTCCTGTATCCTATTTCTTACCTAAAAATGGCATCTTATTTAGAAATTTTCAGGTTAGTATGACTATCAGCCAGTTAGTAAATTGTGTGAAGAAAACAATTCGTGTTTAGGAAGAGAAGAAAAGGATTGCTTTCTTAGATAAGCACTTATAGAATTGTATAAAAATGTGTAAGAAAACTGCTGTTTAAAAACTCCAAAATGAATGTATTGGAGTATGCTGAAATGCATTTGGGGTTTGTGGAAGCTGAATTTTACATTTTTAAGTACTTTGGGGAAGGGCTGAGATTTGAAGGCTCAGAATGCAAAGGGCCTTCCATCTAGAGTAGAAGTGTACGGGGAACATATCCCCCTCTCCTCTCCTTACTAGTCTACACGGCAGACTGCAGGTCATCCTGCAGCACATGGTGTCTGTGGAGTGGATGTGGCAGGGATACAAATGCTGCTTCCATACATGCACATACATGTCCAGTGAACTTTGTACTCAAAGTCTTGGACATTGCGTGAAGTCTAGTGGCTGAGTCAGTAAGTAAGGAAAATAAAGAAAGGTTTAGAAGAATGGAAGGAAGAAACAGGTGATGGAGATGTTTAATGTAATAAGGAGTTTCGATTCAATATTTGAAGATTGGAGGCTGTATCAAGTTTGGAACAAGTTGATTTCTTAATAATTAGGTCTGTTTATTAAGACTTATCCTTTTTCGGGCTGGGTTTTGTTGGTTTAGCTCACAAGAAATGCATAAAAATGTCAACGTCTGAAAACTGTTAGTTTTTTAAATGTGGTAATGCTTCGGCTAATTTTATTCCTATAGTTGTTAAAAAGCACCATGATTAAAATGACCTTTGTTGGGCGGTGCCTGTGGCTCAAAGGAGTAGGGCGCTGGCCCCATATGCCACAGGTGGCGGGTTCAAACCCAGCCCCAGCCAAAAGCTACACAAAAAAATGACCTTTGTTGGCAGAATGTAATGCCTATTCCAGCTCTCTCTAGAGCAAGAAATGCAAGCATTCTCCTCCTGTGTATATAATCCCAACTAAATGCTAATGAATACTAGAAATATTTAAGCATTGATAGGTATATTTTTTGCCCTAAATTTGCCTCTAGGAATGTGGAAATGGTTGTACCCATGTGATAGGCAAAAGGAAGCTATGTAACTTAACTTGGTAACCAGTTATTCAACAATTCCAGAATGGAATACCCAAGGCAACTCTTTCTCTATGTCATAGACTCAGCATCACCTTAAATTAAAATATAGGTTTCAGCAAAATTAGTGTAGTCTTTCAAGGTGCTATTTTCATTATTTCCTGGAAGAAGAGTGGTGGTAAAGAAAAAACGGGTAACTTGCAGTTGACTTCAGTTTTTCCAAAAGACATGCTGTAAATGATGATTAAGAAGTCTCTGTTCAGGCTCAGCGCCTGTAGCTCAAGCAGCTAAGGCGCCAGCCACATGCACCAGAGCTGGAAGGTTCGAATCCAGCCCCAGCCTGCCAAACGACGACATCTATAACCAAAAAGCTGGGCATTGTGGCAGG